TCATTCTCGTGCTACGAACGTTGAATGACGGACAGTCCAAAGGCAACTTGAGGCCCTTATTTGTTTCGCCCCCTCTCGATCCAGGCGGGAGATTTACGTTTACCGGGAGAGTCATCTCGCCGACATCCATGTCATGGCAGTGTCGATATCCCCTGAGCTGGTCCTTGCCGGCCCTCTCTGTCAGCACAATTTGGATATCGCCGTCGTGTGCCCGACTACCCTTCAAAGATTCTAGGTCGGGGGTACTGGATGCAGGGGACGGTATTGACGTCTCTTTCGACGATACCGAAGTCTGCGACTCTTCCGAGAAGGATGATGACTGTGAATCTTGAGAGCTCGTTGAATTCGTGGAAACAATAGAGCCCAAGGAATGCTGAGGGGAGAGCAGGCTGGTCGACGACGAGATGAGCGCGTGGTTCTCCGAGGAATCGGTAGAAGTGTCGGTCAGTCGCGTCACCTCCAGCGGCGCGTCAAGTAGCTCATGAAGAGCACTCCTACCGTACCCTGACGAGGCAGACTCATACTCAGACGCTGACGACTGCGTGTCAAGACACTCCTCATACACCGTCATACGCTCATCCTCGTCGCCACTATTACTCGATTTCTCCGTGTCCATCTGCGACGCTATCGGTCGATCCGCACGGTGATCAATGGGCTCATCTAGATCAGGGACGGTGATCGGAGACAAAGCGCCGCCCCGCGGAGTGCAGGGCATCGCTCTGGGAGTCTCAGTGGCAGACTCTTCAACGGCCGGCGTAACGATCGCCGGGGCGGACACATGCGCTGCTGCGGACACAGAAGCAGGTGCGGATTCTGCAGGTGGGATGTGCAGACGATGGCATTGCGGACCCAACTTGCATTGACCGTAACGGGCGAAATCCCGGCATATCTCTGCGAATTCTGCAGGTGAGACGTGTAGATGACGGCATCGCAGACCCCAGTTGCATTGACCGTGACGGGCGAAATTCCAGCATATCTCCGGTGGCCAGTAATTCTGATTCTGACGATGAGTGGGCCTTTCATTCATAGACGAAGGTACAGGCGTAGAGGATGGAAGCCGATTTGGCACAGGGACAGGGACATTGATATTGACGGCGGGCGCAGCGTTGGTGCCGGAATACAAGGGCGCTGGGCGGTAATTCGGCGGCTGCGTACGATGTTCGTTCACCGGGGTCATACGATGAAGGGGCACGACAACAGAAGAGCTATAAGACCCCCGTAAGTGAAACAAAGACGAAGGAGATTCAAAGCGTGGTTCAGGGAGAGTACGATGAAGCGGTCTAGGATAGGCATTAGCCGCACACATAGGATTGCGAGCGAATTTCGGTGGCTGCTGCTGGTTGTGGACCGGCGGTCGACCGGGAAAATCATTGCGGGAAAACCGAGAGCCTCGTTCGGGAGCCGCGCCATTGACAGGCACGACAAAACGTTGAGACGACTGGAACGAACTGCGTGAATCGCTTAGGCGACCTCCATTTGCGGGGGCCAGACCAAGACCTCTAGCATCAAACGGAAAGCCGTCGATATCTACAGGACCGGCCCGAACACAGTCCCGAGGACCGTTACCTACGAAGGACGGGACTGTAGCACGGCGGCGTGCGTCTCCGACTCTAAAAACGGTATCATTAGCACCAACAGGACCATCGCGACTTCGAAGGCGTGCATCGTCAAAACCGTCGCGTCGATCTTGAAACTCGTGTGAACCATTCAAAATGGGAACGGCGCCGTAATCACGACTTGATGAGCCATTGACATGCACGATACTCTCAACACTAGGGCTCGCACCCCACCTACTCTCCGCTTCGGATGCGTCGCTCCTGATGGTAGCGCCAGCGTAACCTCTAGGTATTCCGGGCACCGAAAGTGGCCCGCCAATTTGGCTGGGGTCCACAACAATGAAATCGCCGTCACTAAAAGTTGACTGCAAAGCCTCTATTTCCTTGAGCTTCTTTTCGCAGCTCGAACGCAGCTCTTCATAGCTCATGATAAGCGGCCCCACGCTATCATTCCCTCGCACCTGTCCGAGGCTCATCAATCCCTGTTCTTCACTCGCCAGCCAAGAAGCATTACAAAATGGACACTCACACTTACAGATCGCACATTTCCGGACTGATGCACGGGATACTGGTCGGAGCCCGTGGGGGCATCCGCTGTACCTACATCGTGCCGGAAAAGGCACTGGTCTCCAAACTTGCACCCGCCAGATTGCGCGAAAAAGTGACAAGGGCGGCGGAACTCGGGCTCAGGTTGAGCAGGAATAGGCTTGTCTACGGACGAGGGCGCAGACGGCTGGTATGGGGTGAACATATCAATATCACGCCAACCTTGCTGTCACCCCATCAGGGAGTAAAAAAATGTTCACCTCAACAACTTTGGCTGACTGCACGTCCAAATCGATGCCTTCTTGCACATGTTCATACTGACAGTTATTCACGCGTGTGCATCCACCTGTTGCGTCGAAACAGCAGACGGGAACCATGTCGTCACAGGATGAGAGAAGATGGTCGTTTGTAGAACACGACGTGACGGTTGGGGATGTAGATGATACAAACGATGGCGAAAGTAGGGTGATCAAACCGAAGCAATGTGCAATACGTATCACCAACCAAGTCGCACGACGCGAACAATCAAGTCGAACGGAGGTCGTTGCATGTTGAGTCGAGCAGTCGAAAGTCAGAGTTGCAACGCGAAGACAAACACATTCCCATGTTAGTCAGTGCAAAAGCGGAGTACGTGGCCACTCACTTGACTGGTCAACCGAGGGAGCTTGTGCATCTACGAACGAAGTCCTTGGCTCTGTAGTCATGGCAGGTTCGAGGAGAGGAAGTTGATGGATAGATAGAGCTTGTGTAGAGATGGGACGAGTGGAAACCCGACGTAACAACGGTGAGAGTGGTATGTAGTCTTGAGAAGGATACAAAATTTCGTCAAAAGTTGTGGAGCTTGAAGCTTGAATACCCTGAGAAACTACAGGAAATGCTAGCCGACGAGATAGATGGCCTGCAAGCAATGAGTTGATGATTGGCGATAATCGCCTGGAGTAGAGAAGAACAACGATAAGAATTCTAGATTTAATCCGAAGGAGAACGGCAACAGCCCCGTAAAAACGAAACAGGACAACGATGAAGGTAAGAGGCAAGACGAGTTGATGGTAAGTGCAAGCGGTTAGTTGTACTTATGACAGCGACAGCTTGAGACTGAGATGAGCTTATTCTAGAAACACAACCGGCAGACACAGCTGCCAATCGATATAACGAATGCGAGAGACTCGGTAGAACGGGAATGGGGGGCAGAGCTATCGGGCTGGAGACAATGGCCGCGCGTAGGGCACTATGTTCTGACAACAGCAGAGTGAAGTGCAGAAACGAAACTGAGCCAGAGTCACGCGTCATCAGAGTTATTCACCGCGGGTTGTGCGGATCTGATGGAAACCACGTGTGCCCGGGAGTCCGGCCTGCTCTTGCCTGATCGGAACTCTGCATCGATGAATGAGATATTTGGTCACAATACTTCCAAAAATTGGCCATATTTTTGAGTAAAATAACCGGGAGAAAGAAATGTATTTCTACCCAAGATATAAATATTTCTTTTTGAAGTCGCCGTGGTCAAAATATACCACTGACATGTGATACATACCAGTGTATTGATGGGATCAGAGATGATCGGGTGCAGGTGCGGCGGACGAGGGCAACGACGAGGAGAGTAATCCGGCCGTCGCCGTCGCCACGCCCCACCAGCCCATCCTGCTCGTTCAACAAACCACAGTACTCTCACGGTGCGTGTCCCTGCTTGTTTATCATGTTGTCCGTTGCCGGTGTGGCCTGGATGACGGCCGCCCGTTGAGGATGTGATCGAGGGCTTGTTGTCGTGCTGTTCTCCAGAAAAGCTTTTATTCTAGATTTGCGTTCTCACTTGATTGTTCTCAGATGCGCGACGTTCTCTCCGTCGAAGAGCTCTCCATTCCGGAGGGTGTCCAGGTCTCCATCAAGTCCCGCCTCATCACCGTCACTGGCCCTCGCGGCACCCTCTCAAAAAACGTCCGCCATGTCAACATGGACATTCGCATCATCAAGACTGCCAAGGGCGCAAGGGTCACCCTCGCCGTCTGGCAGGGTTCCCGCAAGCATGTCGCATGCCTCAACACCATCAAGTCCCTCATCTCCAACATGATCACCGGCGTCACAAAGGGCTTCCAGTACAAGATGCGCGCCGTCTACGCCCATTTCCCCATCAACTGCATCATCCAGGACTCGGGCGAGGCCCTTGAGATCCGGAATTTCTTGGGTGAAAAGGTTTGTGTTCTCTCCTCGCAACCGGTGCTATCTGACCATCTTTTGCGCCAGACCGTCCGTCACGTAGACATGCTCTCCGGCGTCGTCGTGTCTGAGAGCAAAACCCAGAAGGATGAGCTTATCCTCGAAGGTAACGACATTGAAAATGTCTCCCAATCAGGTAACAATAATTCCCTCTCCCTACGCAACTCCTCTAACATTCTTCTCCACACCCAGCCGCGTCGATCCAGGGCATGTGCCGTGTGCGCAACAAGGATATCCGAAAGTTCCTCGACGGCGTCTACGTCTCGGCAAAGAGCACGATCGAGAAGGATGACTAGACGCATTGCGCTCTCACCGACATCGCCTGACGCTCGAACTTCGTGTCATTACGTTGTACTACCCTTCCATATGTACCACCCTCACATATGCCCTCTCCTCCGTGGCAGCCTGCCAGTGCGCGCCGGCGTCGCGAACTTAGCAATAATATATAGGTTACAACTTCATGTGCCCTCATGTGCACGCATGAAAAAGAAAGCCCCAAACGTGACATGAAAATGTGAGTTCCAAGCCTATCTATGGCTAGTTCCAGCCCATGGGTGCTATGTAGTACTTTACGGCTGTCGGACTCGCTCTAGCGGGCGGCGGCGACAGGTGTGTGGACTACTGGGAATATTTATTGTCAGCAGGAGAGCTATTTTGAATCTGTATAGCAAAGCCGAACAACCATCGGATATAGTGTAACGGCTAACATTTGCGCCTTTCATAGCTATTCTGGTAGTTTCGCGCAAGCTCGGGGTTCGATTCCCCGTATCCGAAGTGTTTGCATCTCTCTCACGGCGTAAGCTGGTTTTTTGTTGTTTTGTTGTTGTGCATTTTCTTGCATACCGCTGCAGAAGAACTGTTGAATTGAAGTAAGATTGATCATTGCTCTAAAGGGTGAATTCGGATCGTCAACTGTTTCGATCTCTCCCCGATGCCTGCGACCAGATCGTACTGTTGTGCTTTGCTGAAGCATACATACAAAATATAATAATTGAGTCGCCTACGGTACATACCTTCCGACAAACCCCTGCTCACCCCACTGCATCCTTCACTCGAGATGCCCCCGCGGCCCGCCAAAATCATACATGAATGTTTGCCAGATATCTTGTTGATTGGGCCCCGTCCTTTGCACATCCGAGAAACCCAGCACAGAGTCTGCAGTTCGAAAGCGGCCATGATGGGCTTGATCTGGCGTCTGCGGATGTCCACCGGTACTACGACCAGAGTCCCTCAGGCGTGCACCGCCGCCAGCAGCACCACTGGCAAGCAAACCGTACATCGGATCGTATACACGCGTGTCCGACATAGACAGGCCCGCGTAAGTTGGCGACAGTGGCGGCGCCGGCGGCTGTGTTTCTGGCGATGGTGGTGACGCATGCGACGACGGAGAGGACAGAGGGGGAGCGACGGACATAAGATGGGTTGACGACAACGACGAATGTGGCATATGCGGCGGAACGTGAATAGCCGGCAAGGCCGATGTCGTGCGAACGCCGCCGCCGGGTAGTACGGGAGGGATCGCATACTCTTGTTCGTCAGCCATACGATCGTCGTATCCTGCCGCCGCTGGACGGTCGCGATACACCGCGGGTTCCTCATACTCCCTCGTTACCCGCCCGTCGGCAGCCAAAACAGCACGCTCATCAAGTCCGCGATCCAATCCCATGGTGTCCTGCCTTATGAACGAGCCATCCTCCCTCACGAATGACGTCGGGCGCAAATATGCTGCCTCGCACCGCCGGTCGTACTCGCCGTCACGGTACGCTGCCGCCGCTCCACTATGATCTCGGTGATACACTCCATCATACGGAGCGCTGCCATCCCTGAACGGGATCTTGCCGTCTCTGAATGTCGATGGATCTCCATCCCGATAGTAGGGCCTATCGTCGTCCGGAGCTGTCGGCGAACGCTTGCGCTTCAAGCGTGGCGAGGTTCCACGCGGTGACTCCGACGACCTTCGTGCATTGACGACAGACTTGCGCCCGCCAAGCACATCAAGTTCGTCTGGCCAGCCCACGCGCGATGGAGCAGGTGATTGCGAAGGCGCACTGTCGTCTCGTGATTGCAGGGAGCTGCTGCGCCACCGCTGCCTAGCCTGGAACGTGGCCTGTGCGCGTTGGAGTAGTTTCGGAAGCATGATCTGAGGCCGTGGTGAAAACGCGAGAAAGGATCGACAAAAGTGGTAGTAATACTGACCCATGTCGCAGGCGGCCTTGACTGTGCCGATCCCTCGCCGTACAATTCCACGGACTTTGTCAGTTCGGCGAGAGCTTCAGGTGCCAGTGAGCAGTCCGGTGTCTCGACAACCAGCGCGCCAAGGATGATCTAAATGACAACTCACACCGTCAGAAAAAAAAGAACAATATGATGGATGTGTAGACACAACAACCATGGAAATAAGACTTACACATGCCGAGAAAAGATTTGCCCAGAAAAACCAGATCGTTCGCACCGCATGCGAATGTACCTGATAGAGGTCGCGCAAGCTCGCACCAACAGAACACGCCGTCTTGATAACACTGTATACAGATGCGCCGTAGGGATCATGCAGTGGTTCCCGTGGGGAACGACGTAGCGCTTGGACGAAATAACTTCGATGTACGAACATGAGACCTACATTCCCCATTAAATACTTCCAGCCAGTCTATAATCGAAATCTCTACCCACTGATTTCGACGCAGTTCTGGGCACAGTACTGTTGCATAGCACGATTGGAGTCGGATGACCAAGTGCGACGGTCGTCGCCCCCTGGCTTCGGGGCGCGCAGTGCCTCGGGGATCGGAAACCCGCGAATCTTTGCGTCCAGTTCAAGCAGCGCCTGGTATCCTGGCGTTCGCAAGCGGTGTACATGGTCGGTGCATGCGGTCAGGCATATAGCCGAGAAGCGGTGTTTCCAGGCATGCCAGTCAGCTTCCCGGATTCCTCCATATTCCGGAAATCGGCAGTCCGCGTATTGAAGCAGGAGTGATGGTGGACGGCCTTGCACGATGCTCTACCGAGACAGGGGATTGGGGACAACTGCCAGTCAACCAAAAGTCAAAAAATGCTCACTGTCCATTCCTCATTGGCGTACATGTCCCAGAACACAAGTCGTCGTCGCTGTACTTCATCTGCATCCAGATTCCATTCCGCGCTATCGCGTTCTGGTGATATGGAGTCCAAAAAAATTAGCACAAGACGCGATCAGAAACAGTAACAAGGACGACATTGCGAGACTCACGTAGCCCCATCTACAGCAGGCGTGAGCGAGTGCCAATACAAAATAAAACCAACCGAACTTACTATGAGAGCCACACGACAACACAGTCCGGTTAAGAGCCAGCGCTCCTCAAAACGCCTCGCATTCACGGTGTAAATATACTTTACCGCCAGAAACAGTGCTTGCACCGTCGCGCAGTTGACATGTCGACAAATGGATACAAGCGATAGTGCAGCACGTGAAAGCGTATAATATTGTCTGGCAAGTAACGGCTGCTGCCCCGGGACATTGTTGGGGTCCAGTGCGACACCCATTGCAAGAAAGAGGAAGAATATGGACAACAAGTGGGGATGTACAGCGCGTATATCGGATTTCTCTGACACTGCGCTGTCAGAGACGGGTCCATACAGAGGATCGATGATGGTTGCCATGAAATCCTTCTCTGAGAGTAAGTTGAACATCCAAGACCCGTGAGCGTAATAGTTCTGTACGATGCAGAGCGCTCGTTCACGAGTTGGCACATATGGTGCTAGTATGTCGCGGTCCCATGCCGGACCACGCACACCAAATGGATAGGCGTCGCTCAGATGCAGGATTTCAGATGGCAACTGTAGATCTGAGATATCGTCGTCGTCGTCGTCCTATTCCAATGGACATAGTATCGCATGAGGTTGAGAGGTATAGTCGATAGTATGCCGTGTTAGCAAATCAAGAAGGAAGAACATGCTGAATACTCACGACAAACAGGTCTTGGAGATACTAGAAGCCTTCAGTATTGTCGATAGAACCTGGGCTGACTGACACCTACCTCCGATCCAGCCGTTTCGCCGTGATACTTCGACTGACCGTGTTCATCGATTGACAATGAACCAGTAGAGTCGATATTCGCCCGCTGTTCCCCTTCGCTGCTTGCACGATGTTGCAACCGGTTGATCTCTACCTGTGGACCCTGACGTCCCCACCCAGCATCGTCGTGCATATCGTGTCTGTCCACTGTGGAATCGTATTGGTTGAGCGGGCGATGTCTTCCATCAGATACACGCGTGGCATTGAGTTCTGCTTCGAGCTCTTGGATGCGTGCCGACATATGCTTCACCTGTTCTTCTAGATTCTTGGCATGAGCCTCAAGAACCCTTCGTAAAAATCAATTAAAGATGTAGTGTGCTCGAGAACATGAGGCACACACTTATTTCCTTTGGTAGCAGGCAATGCGCCTTCGAACGCAGACTTGTGAGTGACTGCAGTGCATTCAGGGGCTATATCGGGGAAGTACACATACCATCCGGACAGATATCGGCGCACCCACGTCTTCGAAAGGGGCGATATAAGCAACGAATTGAGGATACTTGCAGGCCGGAAAAGACACACCTAATGCACGATTCGCAAGGGAAGACGCTGGGTGAATCAAGTCAGCGATACTTTGGGTGGTAAATGGAGGCGACCCTTGGGCAGACGAACCGATTACATCTCAACTTTGAACGACGGCATTCCGAACACGACCCACGCTTCGCAGAGCTCATTATCGAGGAGGACCGTGAGGCCTGTAGTGGGTGGTTGGTTATGGACTGTGGGAACCCTCAGACTCGGATGTGGCAAGGTCCGTTGCAGCTGTGTCAGCATCAATCGATGTTCCTGAGTCAAAGAGCGCCTTCAGAATTTGTAGATAGGACTCTGGCGATAGATAACCCCGACATGAAGGTGGAAAACATTCGCAGAAAATTATGAGAAAATGTGTATGTAGAATAACAGTACGAACGAGAGAACCTGGCATGCAGCGCCGAGCAGCTCAGCTTTTAGGCTCCCGAGTCGGAGGTCGATGCACCCACACCGCTGTGCATCCGAGTCGACATCACGCCGTCCCGAGGCTTCTCTTCGGAGTCTGTCAATTTGAATTACAATGTATTGCGGTGATTTCGGACCTGATATGTATAAGTCGCGACTCCTTGTGCGAAGTTCGAACGTGTACAGTGCTGGTAAGTAGTATCCAGCATATATAAATAAACGTGACGGCCGCGTCAACAGAGCTGTCGACCGCATATTCCAGGCGGTTACAAGAGAGAGGGTGGGGTGAGTAGGAGTCTCTCTGTTTCCGTCTGTCTTGGGGAGACTAATTCCAGGCCCAGGTCTTCAGCAGCATCGTCGCATTATTCACAAGACAGGTCCTGACTGCAACACGCGATTGGTGGGTGCGGAAGTAGGGTGTACCCTATGGACACAAATGGTCATGGGATATTATGTACGTGACGGACATTCGAGATGCACCTGCAATGCACATGACATGGGTTTATGTACGACGTATGGTCAATTCTTTCTTCACCAAATGGGTGTTCATCTCCACTGAATTCCGACGTGAGTTTGAGTAGATTCCACATTTGGAAGCTTCACAAGGTCGATTTCTGTAAGTGAGCGCCATTTCAAGCAGAGGCCATACGTTCCAAGTACGCAGACCAGCCCGCCTCCTTGTAACGTTTCGCCTGTTCCAGAATGTCGTCCGTTCTGGAATAGTCCTTGCCATAGATTCCGCGCCCAACGATGATCACATCACAGCCGGACTCCAACACAACCTGTCTTGGCG